CCCCAAAACCCCAAAACCCCAAAACCCCAAAACCCCAAAACCCCATATAATATTCTATTCATGGGATAATTTAATTTTGAATATTTACTGCATTAATCCTTTTTCAAACTCTTCATGATTACAATGGTAAACTTGTCTTCCAAAATTTACATCGAAGGTGCATGACCCATCTCAAGCAATAAAAGGATAAAGCACTTTATGATTTGGTATGAACAACTTATGCTTTATCATTTCCTTCTTCCTCTTTTTCTCTTTATCCTCCTTCTTGTCCACCGCTTTGGTCTTCGATTTCTTTTAGTTCTTATAATGCTTGCTCAGAAAAGTCTTTCGTGACTGAATTTCATCAGGCATTTCAAGGTTATGATAAAGAGTTCCGTTATTTGTAGGAACTACCTCTTATCTATCTTCAGAATCTTCAAAGTCTTTGTATAAGAGGAGGCCTCCTACATCTGCGAAATATTTCATCTGGTAGTTAAATTTATTTATTTTTCTGTCCGACCTGGACATAGCCAGTGGCTCCATCAAAAATTACAGTTGTATCAGTAATCTCTGGAAACTTGTCATTATCAAAGTTTTGCTTCTCTCATAAGCCGATATACACAGCAGAATCATCTGAATTTTCTACTAAATCTATCTCAAAATGTTTGTAATGTCTGCATTGTCCGATTGAGGAGTTCAGCCTAACAGCTAAAAATTAACAATAATTGTTACCGAGTGTTCTTCCTGGGGCCTGATTAAAAATAACCTGCAGTCCGTTAAGCTGGGCTGATCCTTTACAAGAGGATATCAATTTATTCAAACTAGAAGGAATTTCCATGACCAGATTTCTTAATGATAATTTATCCATTGCTGATAGTTCTGGGTCATCAAAAATATTGTAATTAAAATTCGTAGACTGCCTGTGCTTTAGCCAAATTCTCATAACGAAATACCCCACAACTATAGTTATAAGAGCAACGACGAGGAGTACAAGTGTAATTTTTAGCACCAACCACCATGGGATTATCAAAATGATCGCCCAAATTTTCTCACCGAGTCATACAAGTTCCAATGAATTATCAGATTTAACATAACAACTTATGCCATACCTTCCAAATGATCGTCAAAAGCCACATAATTGCATCCCATATAATTCCGATTATACCTGATTCTAATACAGCGACATCCTCTTCCTCACTGCTTTGGTTCTGAGTAAGCACAGGAGCATTAGTCTGTATCCTTAATCCAGTTTGGCCTGTTCTCACTATTAATAAACCGTTAGTTTTACCCATAGAACTATCGAGTGCACTACATCTTGCCAAAATGAGGGCCATCAGTAGTCCAATTGTGACCATATATTTTCCAGTAAGCTTAAACTCTAGACTCAGTTTCCCTCTAAGTAATTTCGCCATGAGTCAATCCAAAATAATTCACTAATTTATAAACATTTAAGATTAGAAATTTCAATTTTTTTGAAAGTTGAAGGGGTTTTGGGGTTTTGGGGTTTTGGGGTTTTGGGG